CTGGACCCACAGACCGTACAGACGAAGAACTGGCACATGGATGTGATCGAGATGAACGGGGTAAGGCCATGGGAGGTAGAGGGGACCCCAGCTTGGCATGGTGTCACTCCCCGGCTTCCTGCCGCTTCCAGTTAGGGAAGGCTCTGCCTTTCTTTTCTGCTTTTCAGAGCATTTTTTCAGGGGCATTTCGAAATTTGCCTTGGGTTCATCTTGCCCACACACAGCAGCTGGACCTGCTCTGCCCTGCCTTCCCCCGTCTTGATCCCTTTGTGTCCACCCCCTTGTTGGGGTCTCCAGCATCACCACGTGTCTTGGAGGCTCCAGGGCGTTAACTACCCTCTGCCCAGCCCTGCCCCAACATGGCCTTTTCCTTGATGCAGATCAAGGTGGAGTTCTCCATGAAATTCACCAGCCGGGACATGAGCCTGAAGAGGACCCCTTCGAAAAAGCAGACAGGAGTGTTCGGGGTGAAGATCAGCGTCGTGACAAAGTACGTGCCATTCCTGGGACTCGTATTCCCTAGGCTGTCGATCCAAGTGCCCCAGGCCCCTCCACTCCCCACCAGACTCACACCTCCCCAAGGGATGGAATGAAAAGAGTCCTGCACTGGAAGGAAGCCAACGTTCTAGGTTCAAATCTCCGCTCAAACCCCATTAGGGGTTTTCTTGGCAGAGATTTGCCATTTCCTTCTCCAGCTCATTTTACAGATGAGGAAACTAAGGCAAACAGGGTTAAGTGACTTACCTAGGGTCACACAGTCAATAAGTGTCTGAGGCCAGATTTGAACTCAGGAAGATGAATCTTCTTGACTAGAGGCCTGGCACTTTAGCCACTGTGCCACCTAACTATAGCCTTGGACAAGTCCCTGGGCCTCGGTATCTTCCCCTATAAAGTGAAGGAGTGGGAGTAGCTGGACTAGGTGATCTCTAAGATCCCTTACAGTTCTGAAATGCTGTGATCCCAGTGCTTAGCTTCGTTCCTTAACAAATGATTATTGACTGATTGATTGATTGATTGATTGATTGATTCAAAAGTTGGTTGCTTCATCCTCCCTCTGACCCCTCTCCCCCAGGTGCAGATGAGATTCCACTGCCCTGAGTGAGTTGTTGAGGCAACATCTTCTAGAAAAGGCAATTTAGGACAGGGAAAGAACCCTGGGTTTAGAGTCGCAGACATCCTGGGTTCAAATCCTGCCTTCCTCGCTGTGTGACTTTGGACAAATCACTTACCTCTGTGGGCCTCAGTCTCCTCATCTGGATGATGAAGGGCATTGGGCTGTGGACCGCCTCTAAGGTTTCTCTGAGCTCTACATCTGGGATCCTGTAATCCTGGGATATGTTGGGGGGAGGGTGGGCACACTTTCAGCCCAGCTTGTGTCTTATGTCAGAAAGGCAAGTCTTTGTGACTGGGAGCTGAGGTTCTTCCCTAGAAACAGATACCTCATTCTCCTGTAGGGGGAAGAGTCCCCCAGGGTGTGTTCATCCTCACCAAAACTCCTTAGGGTTTTACCAAAGGAAAATCCTCTTCCCTCTTCAATCCCTTTGGGTTTCTGCTTAATCTGCCTCCCTCCTATGAACCCCAAACATTTTCTACATGACCCTTATCTTGGTATCAACTTGTGAGAGAACAGAAACCCTGTGTACCTTGATCTGACACCCCCACCCCATTTTCCCACCCTCTACAGACATACACACACACAGGCACACATACACACACACACACGCGCGCACACACACACACACACACACACACACACACACACACACACAGCAAGCCCTGTGGGTATCTCCTTTGGTTCTTCTCACCCTTCTCTGTCTCCCCCCTCCCCATTCCAAGTAGCCAGGGCCACCCAAGGTCGGGGCATGAAGATGTGAGTGGGAGGTAAAGGGAGGTGACTCTGCTGTCATGGCAGAGGTAGTCACCATGCTGCCCACTCCCTGCCTCCACAGGCGAGAGCGCTCCAAGGTACCCTACATCGTCCGGCAATGTGTGGAGGAGGTAGAGAAAAGAGGCATTGAGGAAATCGGAATCTACCGGATTTCGGGGGTGGCCACTGACATCCAGGCGCTGAAGGCTGTCTTTGATGCCAGTGAGTCCCAGGGGAACCCCGGGACCTGGGGAGGGAGTGGTGGGGAATGGGGAATATGGACTAAGATGGGGAGGAGAGCGTGGGACTTCCACGCTTTCTTGCCTGGCTCTCAGGGGTTCTCCCCACACTTGCCTAGACTTGCAGTTAAAGGGGGAGCCTTGGCTCTGACAAAGCTGAAATGTACAGCTTACATCTTGGAAACTGACTCCTGTGCTCATTCCCAAGGTACTCAGTGGAGACAGATTCAAAAGCCCTGAGCTCACACTTCTTGTCTTCTGGATGCTGGGCTCCTGAGGTCTCAATAGAGTTTGAGAGGCATTGTGGGACCCTGGGTGACTCATTTCACTGCCCAGTGTTCTGGGTAACCCCCTAAGACAAGGGTTTATCTCATGGCCTCGTTGGGCGGTCTGCTAAAGCCTGTGGGCTCTTCAGAAAAATGTTTTTGAAAGCATAAGATACAGGATTACAGAGGAAACCAATTACCATGAAGCAAATATATCAAAATATACATTGTTTTAAAGTTCAAGACGCCAGGTTAAGAGTCTCTGAACCTATTAGTTGCACAGAAGGGGCCAACTTGTTTTGGCAAAAGTAGTTTCCTCACCCAGGAAATCTCTGTACCAATGAAATTAGTCTCCATTGTATACTATTTGTCCTGCCTTCTCTTTTAGGGCCCTAGGACACTCGAAGGTTGGACCGGGGGGTCCTTTGGTTTCATTCATATGATCCTGTAGTGACGAGCCTAGGGCTGTGTCTTGTTACTGGTACCTAGTACATGGTATGGCCTGCCTGCCGGGAAAGCCAAGTTGGTCTGGGCAGACCAGGCCAGTTCCTTAGAGGCTGAGCTGGACAGCTCCTGAAGAACCAGCCTGAACCTTCCCCCTGGCCCTTCCCCTCTACCCCACCCCCACCCCGGCAGTGGCAGAGGCCCTGTTGGGTGGCCCTTGGCAGGCACAGAAGATGACATCCTTTGGGATGGGAAGAAGAGAGGTTGGGAGAATGGAGGGGCAGGATGGGGCCAGGAGGCTGAGGGAGATACTGGCACAAAGCTGATTGTTCCTGGCCCAGATTTCTCTTCGTGGCCTGAAAACCAAGGCTTGGTTGAACATGATTTTAGGTGTAAAAAATGTGCCGAGCTTTCCAGAGAGGGGCTTAGCTGAGACTGTCAATGAGGACAGAGTCTTCTGTATGGTATTAATGTGGTCCCAGAGCTCTGGATCATGGATTTGACTTTTTTCTCTCCCCCATCCCCTTCTCCAGTCTTCACATGAGAGAGTCATGGGCAAAGCAAGCCAGATTCTAGCCCCAAGGCATAGTATCCTCTACCCTGAGTCCCCAGCAAGGACTCAGTAACTCCCAAGCTTCTCCAGACAGGGCTGAATCACAGATACCTCCAAGGATTTGTCTTGGCCCTGCCTTATCCTTAACAGGGATATTGAAGAGGCAGCATAATGTAGGAAATAGAGTAATAATAATAAAAATAATAATAATAGCTAACATTTATATAGGACTTTAAGGTTTACAAGCTGCTTTTTACAAACATGATCTCATTTCATCCTCACAATAATCCTGGGAGAGAGGGGTTGTTATTTTCTCATGTACAGACATGGAAACCAAGGCTGTGAAAGGTTGTGATTTGCCCAGGATCACAGCTAGTAATGTCTGAGGCAGGATTTTGAACTCGGGTCTTCATGACTGCCAAGTCTAACATTTGATCTCTTGTGCCCCCAGCTGCCTAGAGCAAGGCTGGCTTTCAAGCCAGGCCTCAGAGTCACCTAATGTCTCGCAGCCTCAGTTTCCTCATCTGTAAAGTGACAGCTTGGACTACTTGGCCTCTAAGGTCCCTTCCAGTTCTCCATTTATGACCCTTTATCAGGGACCCTGTATGAGGAAAGAAACCATTTACTAGGAAAGCCCTTCATGCCAGCTTGTAGCCGCCCCCCATGTCAATGGCCCCTGGCCAGGCCTGAAGGAAAGATCCTTCTGACAGTTTTCCTAGCATAGCATGAATAGAATAGGGAAGTGTGATACCTGTCACTTCTGGGGGAAGAGATCACTGCTCGGAAACTCCTGGGCCCCAGCATAGGAGGGAAGGAATTTGAAAAGCTGCCAAGATGCATGTGTTAATAAGAGGGGTGCTCTATGGGAGATTAGGCTTATTCTTCTTGGCCCTAGAGAGGAGAATTTGACCAATGAGTGGAAACTGCCACAAAGCAGATTTAACTAAAAAAAAAAGGTAACAAGGTCAAACAACATATGCACTCTTTGGCTGAGGGGGAAGAAGGTGGCAGGATTTTGCTGGCTCCACAAAGGTGTATTTTAGGCAGGATAAGGAAAAACTTCCTAACAATTACAGCTCTCCAAATTGAGATGGGCAGTGTTGGTAGTAATGTGCTCACCATTCTGGGAAGTCTTAAAATAGAGACCAGAAGAACCTTATCAGGGATGGCTCAGACGCATTCCTAGCAGTCAGCGTTAAGATTCCGTGCCTCTGTGGGGGTGGCTGACTCCCACTGCTCTCTTCTCCTCTCCTCTCCAGACAATAAGGATGTGCTGGTGATGTTGAGTGACATGGACATCAATGCCATTGCGGGGACCTTGAAGCTCTACTTCCGGGAGCTCCCGGAGCCCCTCCTCACAGACAGACTCTATCCAGCCTTCATGGAGGGCATTGGTGAGACTCGAGCCCAGCTCCTGGGATTGGGGAGCATTTCGGAGGCAACAGTAACACGTGGCTGCTTATTAGTGCTGTCCCTTCCCTTCGTTTAGTTGGAGGAGGAAGACTTCGGACCCCAGATGCCTTAAATTCCCACCTCCACTAGAAACTTCCAAGGGATGATCTCAGGCCATTTGTTCGATAATGCTCAGTACCCAGGAGAACAGAGTTGGCCTTTGAACATAACCAATCTTGATGGAACGGCTCAGGCTTGGTTTTTGTTGTGTGGTCTGTTGTAGGCAGCACTCCCTCTATGGTCCTTTATGGCTCTTGACCCATAGGTTTGACCCCCTAGCCCCATCCTCTACTCCCTGCCCTTCCATCCTGTGCCCATACTCTCCTCCTCCATCCCTTATTATTCATATTCTAACACCCGCCTTCTTGCCTTACAACTCTCAGAAGGCTGAGGCTCTCTGATGAGCACAGCCTGGATTGGCTTTCTGAGTCCAATCCCATTTGCCAGAGGGACTCAAGAAAAGGGATTCTCTGCCCTCACCTGTACCGTTCAAGGATGGGCTGCCTTCTTGACCTTTTTGCCCACACCAGGGACTGTCAGAGTAAAGGGGCCCTTGGCGGAGGAACTTTTGGGTTTGGCTGAGCTGCTGCCAGCTTCCCCCTTTATCCCTGTCCTCTCTAGGCCTCAGTCCCTTCACCCCCAATCGCCTCCTCAATGGGATAGAGAGACTGGGTATTTGTCTCATTTTAGAGAGGAGAGATCCCTTCAGCAAGCTCTGGTGAGGTAGTTTACCCTTCCTCCTCTAGCCTTCCAGCTCTGCTTTATTAAAAATGGCAACAGGAAACAAAACACCATTAGCATATTTAGCTGGGTGCAGAGGAAGAGAAAGTGGTGGGGAGGCGGGGACAGGCAGAAGGTGCACGGGCTTTGCCAGCTGCCGAGGCACATATTGGGTGAGATGAGTTAATGAAGAGTGAATGGGTGAAAAGGTGTTTATCAAGGGCTCACCCTATGCTGAGCACTGTTCCAAGAGCTGGGGATACAAGCAGAAAAAACTAGATGGTCCTTCACTCTCAGAGAGCTCACAGTCTAATTGGAGAGCACAGCACGAGGAGGACTGGTCAGCTGCAGCGAACTCTACCTCACTGCGTTCTCCATTTTCTCTGTGTGTTCCCCGGAGACAGGAGGCCAGGAGGCCAGGTCAGGGACAGTGTCCGGGTTGGATCAGCTGACCTCTGAAGCTCCTTCTGTGCCTCTGTTTCCTTCTTTGTAAAATGAGGGGCTTTGATTAGGTCACTTCTAAGATACCTTCCAGCCTTAGATCCTCAGTTGTTTCTGCTGATTCAAGACTTACAGAGCCCCAGGTTCAAGGGTCCAGCATGAGGTCTGTAAAGAGAACCCACTTGTCCAGCAAGCTGGGGAAACAGAGGACGATCACATTGGTCCTGGATGTAGCAGAGGGTATCCACCCTACCCCGCTCCTCTGAGTCACTCAGCCAGGCAGATGCATAGGGTTCTATAGGTGAGGCCTCGGCACATGCCTTGTCCTTATGAGCTTGCTCATTTGCTGACCCATTTTCTCCTGTCTGTCCCCAGCCCTCTCGGATCCTGCTGCCAAGGAAAATTGTATGATGCACCTTCTCCGAACCCTTCCCGACCCCAACCTCATCACTTTCCTCTTCTTGCTAGAACACTTGAAAAGGTAAAGAGGTGGGGGGAGGGGGGTTGCCCCAGGGGCTCCTGGGATTGGTAGGACTGCCCAGCAGGACAGGCTGGACCAAGGAGGTAGCCAAAGCTGTCTGATCTTGCTAACCTCTTGGTCACCGCGCCTCTGGGGAAGGCAGCCTCCCAGGGAGGTTGCAGGGGCCCTTCCAGAGTGAACAGACTGACTCTGGAATCAGATCTGCTTTCTGGTCTTACTGCTTGTGACTGTGGATTCATCACATCACCTCCCTGGGCCTCAGTCTCCTCTTCTGTAAAATGGGGGCAGGAGGCCTCTGAGGTCCCTCCTGACTATAGAGCTGTGATCTTAAGATTCTTCACCAGTGAGCCTGTGAACTTAGATGGCAGCCCTGGGGCATGGTTTGGAGTAGGGGTGGGGAGCCTGTGGCCTCAAGGCCCCACGTGGCCCTCTAGGTCCTCAAGTGTGGCCCTCTGACTGAATCCTAACTTCACAGAACAAATCCCCTTAATAAAAGGATTCGTTCTGTAAAACGTGGACACACTCAAAAGGTCGCACCTGAGGACGTAGAGTGGCCTCAAGGCCCGGAGGCTCCCCATCCCTGGTCTGGAGAGAGGGATTGCCATTTCTCAGGAATCATGGCATCAGCTATCCCATCCCCCCTCCATCTGTCCTCCTTGGGCTCTGGGTTTTCTGGCTTCCAGGAATCTGCCTTGGTGAACATTGTCAGGCAGAGCAGAAGCTGACTGTTCAGGAGGCTGGGCCTTTCCCACACCTCCAGAGGGGCCAGAGGAGCGGGAGATGGAGGTTTCACGTTCCTCCCATCCTCAGGCACTTTTCCCTCTGGTTTGGCCGGGACCAAAGTCCCATCCAGTTCCCAAACAGTTTGGAGAGTGAGCAGGAACATCCGTGGAGAAGGGCGAAGGGAAAATCCATTAGGTTTTCCACCCTGAGAACCGGGCATGGCCTGTTCCCACATCTGGTCTCCTGGACCAGGCTCAATTTCTGTGTGGGTTGGGGGCGGAGGAGGCCTGCACAGCTGCCTCCTGACATGGCCCTGTTTTGCTGCCTGTTTCCAAGGCGATGAACTGCTCCAGTTGGGCAGGGCCTGTGGGTTTCCCCCAAAGGATGGTGGTGGCCCTGGTAGGGATGGGGGTATCTGTGAGTGCAGGTCAGGCTGGGGACGGTTCCGGCAGGCAGTTGTCAAGTGGCACTGGGGTGCTGGCGCTGGGGACAGGCCAGGAACAGGTTTCTTTGTTAGACAAATGTGCGGGGTAGAGATTGGAGGGAAGGGGGAGCCAGGGCACTGGGTACAGACAGCAGCTGATACCTGCTGTTTACAGGGAGAAGTCACAGTGAGTGCATCTGGCCAGTTAGGCAAGAGAAAGGAGGGTGGGGAGAAAACCAAGGCAAGACTTCAGAGCATCAGTTATGCGACAGAGTCATCTGGAAAGGGGGGAGAGGGACAACCTGTGCACCCCTGGATTTGGAGAGGCTGCCTCCGGTTCTGGGAGCTCCCTCCGCAGGGCTGGTTGTGTCCCAAAGCCACAGTGGCTTCCCTCCCTTGCAGCCCTGCGCCCTCCTTAGCCCAGTCGCCCCTAACTAGCCAGGTGACCTTCATTTGACCCCTCCTGGCCTCCCAGAAATTAGGGGGTTGGACAGATGGCCTTTGGCGTCAGAGGGTCAAGGTTCACATCCCCCCTTTGACATGATGACCTTTGGGCGAGTCACAGCCTCCATGGACCCCAGTGTCTTTGGCCACAGTAATTGGATTGAAGCTGGGAAGTGATGAGACAGATCGATGGAGAGCTGGCCTGGAGTGGCCTGGGGCAAATCTCTTCACCTCCTTGGCTGCCATTTTCCCTCATATGTTTAAAAAAAAAAAGAAGTCAGCCCAAGAGGGTTGGGCTCAGTAAACTGTAAGGTCCCTTCTAGCTCTTAAGTTTGTGATGCTGTGAATCCCTCAAGCCTCAGTTTCCTTTTCTGTAAAATGAGGGCTTGGATGAATGACCTTGAAGATATCTTTAAGATCTGAACCTGTGGTCTAGAAATTAGCCATCCCTTCAAGGCCCATCCTCAAAAGGATTCGAGCTCTTCAGCCTCCAGGCATAGGGGATGCTTTAGGGAATGGGCAGGCCATTCCTCCAGGGGCCCCAGGGCAGAAATGACCACTTGGTTTCTCTCCCTTCCCTCCTCTCCCCCAGGGTTGCTGAAAAGGAACCCATCAACAAAATGTCCCTTCACAATCTGGCCACTGTGTTTGGCCCAACATTACTGAGACCATCTGAGGTGGAAAGCAAAGGACACCTAACCTCAGCCTCGGACATCTGGTCCCACGACGTCATGGCACAGGTAATCACCCGGTGGGGTGCCTCTGTCTCCCACCAGCAAAGGGGGAGTGGGAGCAGAGCCTGCCTCCCTCGGGAGCCCCAGGAGAAAGAACAGAGGGCAAGCATGGCACAGGAGAGGAAGGACCTGACTCGAGTTCAAATCCTGTCCCTGATACATCCCGGCTATGTGACCCTGCACTTGCCTCTCAGTGCCACAGGAAGGAAGTTCTGCTCTGGGAGAAGCTGTGCCTCCTTGAGCAGTCCCCATAGAGGCAGCTGGACGTGGTGTCAGGATGACCTGAGTGCAAATCCTGCGTCAGACACTGACTAGTTGTGTGGCCCTGGGCAAGTTGCTTATAACTTCTCTTAAGTTAAGCTGCATCCTTATCTGTGAAATGGGGAGACGAACAGCACCCGCCTCTCAGAGGGGTGGTGAGGATCCAGTGAGGTGATATCTGTAAAGTACTTTGCAAACCGTAAGGCCCTATAGAAAAGTTAGGGATCACTATTAGGCCAGTGAAATTACAGCCTGATCCAAAAAAGAAAGAACAAGTGGTCTATAGAGCTCAAAGAGAGATTACACGATTCACCAGCTCCCTTCTTCCTGCAGCCGGCTCACGAGACCTCCACTGAGGTCGATTTGTAGGATGCCCCACTCCTACGGTGCTGGGGGGACTAGAGGTCCTCTCCTCCTCAGAATAAGGCAGGCCCTATTCCCCAGGACCCCACACTAGTGCTGGGATTTCTCTCTTCCACCTTCCGTGCACACACCCCATGCCCCACCACCCCGAGAAACCCTGGAAGCATGTCATAGTGGAGGGCGGCACTGGCCTTGGAGTCAAGGAAGACAGGTTCAAATCCTTCCTTTAGATACTAGTTTCAGACCCAGGACAAGCCACTTAATCCCTGTGCCTCAGTCTCTTCATCTGTAAAATGAGGAGATTGGATTCAGTGGCCCCTAAGGTCTCTTCCAGCCCCCATGATTCTGTGGCTGTTGTCCTCTGTGGAAGAAAAGCCATGTGGGATTCACTTAGGGCCAGTCATCCCAAAGCTTCCCTAATACATAACAGCAGCAAGTCAGTGAGCCAAAGGGGCAGAAATCCTGGCGCTCAGGATAGGATTTCTTTTCTTTTTTTCTTTAAATATATTTTATCAAATATTTCCCAATTACATTTACATTTTTTTTAACATTTAAAAAATTTTTGAATTCCAAATTCTTTTCCCTCCCTCCTGCCCCCCTCCCCCTGTCCCTTGAGAAGGGAAGCACTGATATCGATTATATGTGGGAAGAAGAACAAAGCTTTTTAACCTGAGGTCTGTGAGCTTGTTTGGTGCACAGAGAGAGAGAGAGAGAGAGAGAGAGAGAGAGAGAGAGAGAGAGAGAGAGAGTGAGAGTATGTGTGTGTGTGTGTGTGTGTGTGTGTGTGTGTGGTATACACACACACACACACACACGTATATATTTAAATTGTTTAATTGTAATTGGTTTCCTTTGTAATCCTGTGTGTTTTATGCATTTAAAACTACTTCTGGGAAGGGTCCATGGGCTTCCCCACACTGCCAGGGGGGTCCAGGATACAAACAGGGTTAAGAACCCCAGGCTTAGAGTCACTCATCCCTGAGCTCCCCTAGGGCTTGAGAATAAGAGAGGCGGAGGGTGCAGGAGAGGGAAAGCAAGCCCTGATCAGAGGAGAAAGTTGCCGTTTTCAGTCCCAGGATGGCTGACTGTCCCGAGTGACATGAAAGAAGGCCCCACATCGGTCCATTCTAGCAGTTAGCACCAGTGGCTGGCATAGAGCCAGGCACTTGGGTGAATACTTACTGATTGAGTGGATTCCCATGCCAGCTCTCAGGAGGCTCCTGCTCCACTCAGGTGGACCTGTCCAGAGGTGTTTTCTCCATCTCAGTCTGGAAGCCTCAGCAGCCCCGGCATTCATGCCCACCCCGCCCTCTGGGTCTATAGACTGTCGGATGAAGCAGACTTCGTGCTGTCTGAAGGAGATGTCTCCTCTCCTAACCCGCCTCATTCGATGGGTCAACAAGCATTTATTTATTAATCGAGAGCATTGGCTTTAGGAGTAAGAGGATCTGAATTCAAATCCCGTCCCTGACACTTCCCAAGCCTGGGTTTCCTCATCTCCAAAATAACCAGGTTGGACTGGAAGGCCCCTGAGTTCTTGGTGTGTGACCCTGTGGTCCTTTCCTGTGCTTCCTTTGGGGAGGGTGTGTGAATGTTCATGGTGCTGGATTTTTTTTTTAGGCAGTTGGGGTTAAGTGACTTGCCCAGGGTCACACAGCTACTAAGTGTCAAGTGTTTGATCTGAGGCCAGATTTGAACTCAGGTCCATCCTCCTAACTTCAAGGCCGGTGCTGTATCCACTGCACCACCTAGCTGCCCCATGGTTCTAGAGTTTGAGGGAAGCAAGCCAAGGAGTTCTCTTCCCCCACAGGATGACTGTGGCTCCAGGCCAGGGGCAGCTTCCAGCCCTCACGGCTTCTCTTCTGTTTCTCCATAGGTCCAGGTCCTCCTTTATTACCTGCAGCATCCTCCCATCTCCTTTGCAGAACTAAAACGGAACACACTGTACTTCTCCACAGACGTTTAGCATAGGCATGGGTGGCATGGGGTCCACCACGGGGGCACCAGTCCCTCTCGGCTTGGCCCTGGGGCTCAGCATAGACTTGAAAATCCAATCAACCGACCACCCCACAAAACCAGATGGAGCAAACCAGACAACAAGGGAAGCAGATTTCTGAGAACTGGAATGTGCGTGTCTCCTGTGCAGCCTTGTACAAAGCTGGCCTCATCCTCCCCCTCTGCCCCCATCACCCCGCTGTGCTCCATCCCTGCCCCTCTGTACTTCCGCTCACGTCTGATGCCCCGTGGTGTTCAGGAACTATCCTATGTATATTTGTTACGAAGAAAAGGCAGTGGCCGACTCAGGCTGGGGACCCGGACAGCCTGCTCTGTGGTTTTCTTTCCTCTGGCATTTTCATTTCTTCTGAGTCTAAATGCAGAGGTTTTTTGTTTGCTCTGTGTGACTTCTGCCAAGCTGCCCTCTCCTGGCACTGCTCCCAGAAGCCCCTCCTCTTTGTTTCCTCTACCAACTCCCACCCCACACCCCTCTGCATGTAAAGCCTCAGCCTGGGTTCTCTCATCTGGGAGAGCTCTCCACGGTGCCATGTCCTGCTTTGCCTTGACACCGGTGAGGACGGTGAGGACACCAGACCATGAGATGGGGTTGTGCTACTTCCCCTCCCCCGGGCTCTGAGCAAGTGCCCAGAGACAACTTTGGGAGCTGCTGTTCCTGAGAGTGTCTATAAGGGTCCTTCCCTGATTCCTTTCCCCATCTCTAGGAGGGATTATCACCTGATTTTTCTTCCCTTGCTTTTTAATTCCTTCCTCCTCGGTATTCTATCTCCTTTGTGTGCGGACTCATGGTGGATGACCTGCTGTCCAGCCAGAGGGTCTGGGGGGCCTCTTCACTCACAGAGGTGTGTGTGACCTTAGGCATGTCATTCCCCTCTGATCCTGTTTCCTCATCTGCCAAATACAGGTCGTGGACTAGAAGACCTCGATGCTCTTTCCTCTCCTCTGGATCTCTGATCTTGGGGAAATGGAAGAGCTTGGGCCACTTCTCCCCATTTTGTGTTCACAGGTTGGAAAGTGAGAGGTACTGAGTATAGCCCTGGGGTCCCTAAGGGGCTGGATGGGAGATAGGGCAGGGAAGGCAGCTCTGTGAGTGAGGGGCTAACAACTATTGTCCTGCTGAGGCTTGTCTCCCCTGGGGCAACAAATAGGACTGACCCAGGTGCCCAGAAAAGAAGTCAGCCTTCAGCAGGCAGTAGAACTCGGCCCCTGGCACCCCTGTTGTACCTCCTCAGTAACTTTGCCTTAGACCTGTGTGCTATGCAGCCAGGCACTGCCACAGGGTAGCCCCTCATGCCCTCGGGGAGATCCAGTAGGATCTCTGAAATCCCCTTCTCCCCCTGCCCCAGCCAGCAGGAGAGGGTAGGTCAGCTACAGCACTGACCCCCTCTCCTGCCTTGCCAGAGCATCTGGGGTAGGAACAGCTCGAGGCCTGGGCACAATAGTTACAGTCAGCCTCCATGGTGCTGTCCATTCATATCTCGCTTCTCCTGCCTGCCTGGCTTCTGGCAGTGACCTTCCCACCCAGCTGCGGGAAGGGGGTTGGAGGAAGTGAGCCATTTGGCCTCTTCGAGGACTGCACTTCCGATGGGCTGACGCACACCCAGTTCTGGCACTCCCCAGCCAAACACTGGCAGCTCCACAGCATGACTTGTGGAGAACAAGTTGGATTCTGATTCTCCTGGGAGACCGGCTACCTCGCGCTGGGAAGGGGAGGGAAGTCCCCATATCTGTACCGCGGGGCTTGGGCCTGATAGCCCACTGAGTTTTCCATTCACACAGTGACATGATAGAGTCCACTTGTACACAGGCAGGGCTTTCTGTGTTGGAGGGCATTTGGAAGAAGAGTGCCATCAGTCTATTCCTGGCCTCTTGGAAGCTGTGACCAGCCTGGCTGGTGCTCATGGTCAAATTTTGATCAAGGGCACATCGAAGATGCCAGCCCCTTCGGTGAGAAGCAGTGCCCTCTCTGGTCCTCTTTTTCTCCCTTGCCCAGGAGCTGGATATGGCCATGCTCTGGCAATGTTGGGGAAAGGAAAAGGGTGACAGGAGAGGGGACCCACGGGCAGCAGAGGTACTAGGACACAGATGAAAAGAGGAAAATGCCCAAGTCCAGACGCCCCAGCTGCCCAGTAGCCTTGGCATGCCAAAGTTAGCCTTCTGTACTATGGACCCTTTCTTTGGCTTCCAAATCAAGTCCCAGGACTGGAGAGAAAGCCTGACTGGAGCTGGCAGCAGCTGAAGAGGAGTCCTCTTCCCCAAGGCCCCCACCAAGAAGCCAGTGGGAAAACAGAAGCGGCTTCTGGCTTCTTAGGGAATCAGCTGCTGCCACCTGGAGACGAGGAAGCAGGAGAGAAGTAGAGGCTAAGGAGAAGGTAAAAGAATAAAAATATTTATAATCTAAAAGTCCCCAGTGGGAAGAGAGGATAGGTACTAAGCCAGGACAAAGCTGTACAAGAGAGAGATCCTTTGGTTTCTCGAGTTCCGGCCTCTGCAGCCCAGGCCCCCAGCCATGGTAGCCTGCTGTGTGGCACAGGTGGAGTTAACAACAGAGGCCCCGAAAACAGGCTGCAGGTGTCCCCCCCACCCCCCACCCCTCACTCCGTGTCGCCTTGCCCTCTTCCATGCAGGGGCCTGGGAGATCTGGAGAGTTTTGTGGATACAGGTAGGATAGGACTGTTCATTAATAATTTGACTTTCATAAGTTGGTAAGGATATATTTTTTTGTCTGTGTTGTTTCAATTATGTAGATTATTATAAATGGATGTAAACCATGTGAGAGGAAAATGTTAATAAAAATGCAAAGCCCCAACATTTGCACAAAACAGCCCTGTTGTGTGGATGTCTGCATTCTCAGCGGCCCCAGGAAGACCTGGAATCCAAATCCTTAATGCTCTGTGTCAGCAGCATCCACATTTGAGTTTCCTGAACGCTGCTTTCTCGGCTATGCACCTCCCCTTCATGTCAAAGATGGAGTCAAGCTTAAAGAAAGAAGGCCTCTCAGCCCTTTTTCTGGATCTTGGTTGAGTAAGCTCGTTGGTGTTAGCCACCGCCTAGCTGGTCTCAGCTAGGAAAGCTGGTGCCCCACTGGTAGGATGCCAATTCCCCAGAAGTTCAGAGGGTGAGGGAGCTCAAGAAGTGGTTGGGTGGTAGGTAAAAGGCAGGTCTTGTGTTTTCAAGCATGCAAATGGGTTTTCTCTCTTACATTTTCCCAAATTTTCTTTTGAAAGACAGAGGCTGTTCTCTGGCAAGGGCCAGACCTACTGTAAAAAGCATCACGTCCACAAAGGGGCTGAAATACAGTGAAGTCCTCAGGCTCTCATCCGTGGGTGCCAGTGGGGTTAATGCCGACTCACACCAGGCCAAAACTCGCCCAACACTATGTTTATTCTGGAGAGATGGAACAGATGTCTTTGAAAATTAGTGTTTCGTTTATGAGCTCATACTATAGATCTGGCCATCTAAAACAGGAAACCATTCATCTCTTCTGATTGAATAGTCAATTCTGACAATGCTCAGTTTATTGAACCAAGTTCCACAAAGCTCATCTTTTCAAAGGCAATGGGGAAGAGAGCATTTCATTGATTCATTAATAATGACATTCAGGGACTCATGCCACCAGCGAGGCTGGATGCTGTTCAAGCTGGCTGTCACGGTGTCCGAATGCTCTGACAGGTAATCTCACAAGATTAGCGAACTCCTCGCCTCCATGGTGCTTCCCACAAATGCCCATATGGGAGAGAGGTAGGGATGTTCGAACCACTCTGTCAGCACTTGTTTGCCCTGAAAGGAACTACTGAAACACTGAAGCATTGAAACATCTAGACAAGTAGCAATGACAGTCTGCCACGTGGGGGTCTTAGGAGAGGGTTGATGCAGAATTCATTATTAGAAGGCTGTGGGGATCTGTAGGACCTTGTGCTGCACAGGAGACAAGAGACATGGGCAGCCAGAATAGGGTGTTACTGGTCATCTTGGATGACACCTCCTAGGTACAGAAGCACACCCAAGTTGTAAATGCTTGGGTGAATTCTCTGACTCCTGTTTTTGATGAAAGGAGGGCGAAAATCAAGGTGACAAAGCAGGTAAGAGACAAAGCAAAGGGGGCTGCACAGTGTGATGGGAAGGGAAAGGGGTACACAGTCTATCCCAGCAGCAGGATAACTGCCTGAGATGTCAAAGTGAAAGTTTAAGGAATGCCATTCCCCATTCCCAGACCAGGTCCTCCTACCCTGGGCATTCTTCTGCCTGGTTTAATCAAATTGCTTCCCTGTGCAGAGATACATTACTGTGGATTTAGTGGGTTCTTTTTAAAAAGCATGTTATACAGGGCAGCTAGGTGGCGTGGTGGATACAGCTCCAGCCCTGGAGGCAGGAGGACCTGAATTCAAATTGGGCTTCAGACACGTAACACTCACTAGCTGTGTGACTCTGGGCAAGTCACTTAACCCCATTGCCTAGCAAAAGAAAGAAAGAAGGAAAGAAAGAAAGAAAGAAAGAAGGAAAGAAAGAAAGAAAGAAAGAAAGAAAGAAAGAAAGAAAGAAAGAAAGAAAGAAAGAAAGAAAGAAAGAAAGAAAGAAAGAAAGAAAGGAAGGAAGGAAGGAAGGAAGAAAGAAAGAAAGAAAGAAAGAGCACGTTATAAATTGATATGAGATGGTAAGAGAGCTAATAAAAATATCCTTTAGGATAGAGAGCAGCTCAAACTTGTCATGTTGGAGCAGCAGCTCTCTCTAGGCAACCAAACCTTTTTTTTCCTTTTTACTATCAGTCTGAGGGCCTTTTCTTTCTGACAGTCATCTACGCACTAAACTGCCCTGGGATACCCAAGTTGTAGGTATAAAACAAACAGATTCTGCCAAACAGAGCACTATGGAAGCGAGGTCAGTGGCTGGCACTTCCATTTGGCTGCTCTGCACTCAGTCAAAGTCGAGACTGATGCTGGAGAACAGAGCAGGGAGAGTGCAGACAACCCTCTCAACAACTGAAGCCACTGAGAGATAGGGTGGGTTCAGTCACCAAGTTAAGGAGGGAGGCTCATTCACACCTGTCTCCTTAAGCCAATGTCTGGTGGTCAGAAAACGAACCCAGTACCACTCCAGCCAACTGGAAACACGCCCGTCAATAAGCCGAAAGGTCTTGGTTTTGTTTTTTTTTTTAAGAAGCCATAGAGGATGCCACGCATCCCAGGGATATGCTTAGTGAGAACGTTTGTAATGCTCTAACAACAGACACATCCCTGTGTGCACCCTCAGGCCTGGCTTCAGCCACAACTTCCCACCCCCTTTCCCTTTGGGCCACGGGGTAGGTACCCAAGCCCTGCTTTTCAGAGAGTTTGACAAAAGAGAAAAAGACCGTTAAATCTGTCTTTTCAAACTGTATTTAAATATACAATTTCCACAGCAAGGATAGCCTGGTGGTAGCCTCAGAATGGGCTAGAGGGAACAAGTAAATTTTACTTTGCCCCCCTACACCTTCCTCCTTCCCTCAAATGAGGGGACCTTCTGATATGTTGCTTGCAATAAATCCCAACATAGGATAATAAAGAATGTCTATTTTAGCAGTAACAAAGGCAGGTTAGATAGTTGCAGTCAGGATTCATAACTCTTTGAAGTCAACAAACTGTCCATGATCTGTTCGATGGGGCTATTCTGTGGCATTTCTCACTAGAAATTTCTGGGTGGAGTCCAGGAAGGACTGGGGATCACCATGAAAGACAGTCTGCCAGCACCTGGAAAGAGCCAAGCGTAGCTCCCCATGAAACTGGAGGCAGCGGCGGCAGCAGCCAACAGAGCCTGCTTGAGTCACCCACCATTCAAGAAGAGGGGAAGAAAACCCAGTGAATCTTTCACACTCATGGTCCAGGCAAAGTCCTTAAAGGACAGGCCTCCTCCACTGCATGGCTCCTGATGGGGTGCTGGGCTCCTCACCCAGAAGAAGCTCCTGTCATCGTAAATAATAATCGATTGCAGCAGAGAAAGCAGCAAAACCTCCACAGCCGATGGCCCCAGCCTTTAAACCAGCTGCAAGACAAACACAGAGATTAGATCCTCCAGGAATGGAAGAGACATCAGACTTAGTTCTAGCTGGAGAACTGCATGTGCACAGAGAAACCAATTCGAGTGAGGCCAGTGAGGCCCCAAACAATCAGGCCTCCCTGCAGCATCTAGCCACACATTCACTTGGCTCCTCGTCTCAGAGAATTAGTCAGGTCAGTTCCATGGCAAGAGCTTCTTTAAAATGGGAACCCTGTCTAAGAGCATCAGCCTTGGGATCAAGGAAAGCAGACAGCCGTCACCTTGACATTTGTTTAGAGGATAAATTCCTGAAAAGCTGATTAAAGGAGGGGAAGGCGGCCAATTTGCTCCAAGGCAGTAGCAAAGGCAGGAGAAGATTCAGCAGAGGCACAGCTAGCTCTACCTACTCCTCTAGCAAATACAACTGTCTGGTTAAGGCACGAGGGCAGGGGAAATAATAACAAGTCTTTCAGCAATTACGGACAAAGAAAAAAGGGGATTGGGGCTCTGAGCAAGCCGGGAGGCAATGGTGGCTGGAGAGCTGCTGAGCAATCCTGCTGCTTCCTTGGAATCTGCCAACCTGACCAGCGGGTGGTAGCTTAAGAACAAAGTAACCTGTAACTTTTATGCTAACGGGAGGGGAATTAGAACTTGAAATGTTGAAAAAGCCACCCTTCTAAGGTCATTAGAGTGCCTGTGTTTGCTTCTGCCTGAACGTGAGGCAGCTAACTGAAATGTCTCCTCAAACACTGAACGTGTTTTTTAAATGCTTCACAGGGTCAAGTGTGGTCCAGTTCTGAGAACAGAACCAAAAGAATAATATACCCAACTACAATAATGTAAGTGAAAATACAAAAATCCTGTCCAACTCAGGTCACAGGATCAAGAATTCAGAACTGAAAGAACCCTTAAAGATCATCTAACGAAACTCCCTTGTTTTCCACATGAAATGGTCCCGAAGAGTTGAAGTGACTGACCTAAGTGAACCAAGCCATCATCGGGGCGTTTAGTAAGTGTAACTATGGGCCGGGCAGAGGAAATAAAAACCAAAGGTTAAATGAATCGTCTTTGCCCTCAAGCAGCCATGTACACAGGTGTGTGCCATGGACAGTCAGGAAGCAGACATGATCCCAGCAGACTGGCACCCTCGCCGACAAGAAGACTCCTCCTACTGATGCAGCAGTACTCCTTGGGCAACTTGGGCCTTTCTAGTGTCTAACAAGCAAGAGTGGGCCTGGATCAGATTAAAATGTGATCGAGAAATATTTAACAACACAAATAAAGATGCAAACATAGGTAACAGTACATTTTAAAGCTAGGACACACACAATTCACGGGGACAGAGAAGAGGGCCCTGTTTCTCTGAGTTGGACACTACGCCACCGCACCACAAGCCAGTGTCTCCCATCCAAAACAGATGTATCTACAAGGCGATTTAGCAGGGAAAGGTCAGGAAAGGCCTCCTGTAGAAGGTGATGTGTGGGAGCTGAGACTTGAAGAAGATGGGATTCCCAGGAGGAGAGAGGCCATTCCAGGCATGAGAGAAGGCTGAGCAAAGCCCAGAGATGGCAGCAAGCAACATATGTGAAGAACAGTTAGAAGGGCAACTTGACTAGACCACAGAAAGTGGAGAAACATGGAACGAGGCTGTAAAGGCCAGCTGCATGAAGGTGGAAAGGTCTTTCTGTAGTAAGTAGCGGAACTGAGGTCTGATTTCAGGCCCTCTGATTCAAAAATCTGTCTTGGTCCCCAAGAAAAGAGGGAAAAACATACCTCCTCCTTCCAATCAGGAGAGAGACGTAGGGGCCACAGT